GTCATGTATTATGTCTAAGATGATTATTGATCTCATTAAATAAGAAATTTAATTAATAAAAAAACATCAATATTTTGGGTTGTCGGCGATTGGCGCAGTATGCGCCGGGAGCGAATCTTACACAGGGAGCGAGGCGTCTCCTGTAATCCGGCTACTCGGAGGTAGATCATGTAGACTGAACATCCTCACTAAGCCCGGTATTAATATACTAAAGATGGAGGAGTATGTATGGGCAAGTAGGGGACGATAGAGGAATTATGGACGTTTAGCGGAATCACAAATAAAATTCTAACTATTAATAATAATCAGTATCTCATTACAAATTATTAAACTATACCAACCAATTAACTTTTATTAATAACTTCTACGATATCAATCAACTTTTATTCAATTTCAATAAAAAAATAAAAACATTTATCTATGTCCTTAGCTCATGGGTTAAATACGGACAAGTGTTGGGTTAATTGCGCACATCGTCGTCGTACGACCTAGGTCTTATTTCATTTGCAGATTTCAAAAGTCTTGAAGAAGTTCGAACACAGCAATTTTCATGTTTTAAATTTTTGTTTTAAACACATAAAGTTTTCGGTTTTCGGTCACAATAATTTTTCTCGTTATATACGTATGAATTTATTATTCAGAAATATTCATTATTTTCTTTATCACATTCAGAATTGTTTAAGTTTCTTACACTATTTTCTCGATTTTCTCGAGTGTTTTTTAATTTTCGATTTGTAGTTCGAACTTTTTTATTCCAGGTTCTTTCGCTTTTATTTTTTTTTTTTGCTCTAGGTTTTCTTTTTCCGATGTGTTGGATAAAATAATGATACGTTTTTTTTTAAATAATCGTTTTGTAAGACTAAGTTGTAGAGTTGATACTTGCACTACCTCAATAAGTGTTAGTAAGAGAACTGGACTAGTTTAACTTGTTATACTTTAATTTACACCAGCTTCACTGACATCAACTGGGTACTAATGCTTATGCAGGTATTGTTTTGTATAAATCCTCAATGTTATAAACATTTTCTGCAATTTGTTGAGATTTTTCTTGAAATCCCTAATCCGTATTTACCCCAGGGACATTGTCAGCAATTAACCCGAAATGTAACGAGTGATCGTGGCTATAGAACGCGGCAGGTAAGGATTGAGTCATTTACCTACTCCGCGTAGGGGGAAAGGGATTGTTAGTAATGTGGATTGATAACCCCATTGCTAGCAATGTACCATGTTAGGTTGACCTCCACGCGGTTCCCCCTGGAAACCACCGTGATAAATTCTTAGTGAATTTGTAACGATGGGCTAACTAACCTGACCTCATGCTCATCTTATCATCCTCCACTGGTGCCCCGCCAGCGTAAACCGTTAGCGCAGGCGGGTGAACCATTCCATTATCATCCATATAAAAAAAAAACCTACTCCGCGTCCGCAATTCCCCCATCCTCCCCTAAATAACGAAATTGCGAACAGGAATGAATGGAAGAGAAAAACATATTACGCCGACGTTAAATAAATGGAATAAGGAAGAAGCAGATGAAGATGATGGACGACTCTGGGGGTGCAGGTTCATTAAGGAGGGGTGAACCGGGCCCGAGTGAAAACGAGCCGTCAAAGACTAACATCTTCCATCGGTCCCTATCAACCATCATATTTATAACTAAATACAACAAACACATAGTATTTGTAAAAGAGACACATATAACAATACCTGTATTTAGATTCCATTAAATGAGTCAAATGAAAATCGTTATTCATGTCATCTAACAATTGAAATATTTTTTCTCTGTTGCTAAGTATGCCACCATATACGGCAAGGATTATTCCTAGTACTAAAAAATAAAAAAAGCATTCCGTTGCAACCGCGTAATCCTTGACGATGACGCCGTGAACAACACTGATACCTTGCAGTACTAAGCTAATAAGTGTAATTGAAATGCATACAAAGGGCCATATGAATCTGAAAACAATAATCAAAAGAACGTATTGAAATAGAAAACTCATTGAAATTAAAGATCTAATGATGAACTGGATTTTTAAGTACAATAGGTATAGCTACGTTGTTAGACGGTGTATCGATGTTGAGATGTCGCCCAAAAACTTGCTAAGGAGCCATCAGCATCGCCTATTCACGACTCAACACATCTACCAATGGATTAAAGGCCAAACAGATTTTGTTTTACTTTGTTCATGTTGTTTGGTATTTTGTATTCGCATAAAATCTTAAACTTTGTTAGAAGTTTTCTTCAGTCACGCGTATTTGTTGGCAAGCTGCTTGCTTTGTAAGTTGTATTACTGTGTTTCGTGTGCTGTTGAATTTAAATAAGTTAAAAATGGATAATAGAACTTAACCTCAGAAGTGAGTTCCGATTATTAGTAAAGATCCCGATGGCTGCTAAGAAAATATACAATTGCGGATGAAAGTCTCTTAAGTTTATATTGTTTGAAGTGAGATGGTAGTTTTCTTTTAGTAAGATATTTTTTATGTTTCGTATTAAGTTCATTTTAATAAAAGGTGCTTTACGTGGAACGGTAACTAAGTAGAATGTTGTAGGTAAGCTCTATACTCGATAATTTGATAAAATGGGACAATTCTATAATTATCTCATTTCTAGAAATTTGCAACAATTAACAATTATCGAAATTACTAATTGAAATATCATAATGGGTACTTACGGAATGACCAATCATGGATAGTTAACAACGAATTGAGTATCTACTATACTTTGTAATTATTTTAATATCAGTTGCATTATTTTTATTGTCTAATTAAGTTGATATAAAGATTAAGCAATTACTTCTTAATATGGCCGTTTGGATAATTGATATATTTTATTAGAAGATATTTTTTTATCAATTAAAAACAGTGATGGAGACGTGTCCACATTTAAAGGGCATGTGGATGATATATATATGATAAATTATTTATTTTTAACTTATTTAAAGTAGCAAGAGCAAGAGCACCGACGAGAGCGTGGCGCTTATAAATTTTGAATGAAAGTATTGTACTTTAATGGCAAAAAAGCTGACGACCCATCTGGCTGTAAGTGGTAACCGTTCAAGAGACGACTTTTAGGAAAGTCTACCACAGAAAACTATGTAGGTATCTACTAACTACAATAATTTTAATCTATTTATATGTATAGATATTTATATCTATAGACAATGATAAGGTGCACCCGGCTGATCTAACGGTGTATGCTAACGGGTACCAGTTCTTTATTTTCTTTATTTTTTTAGTAAGTTTTCTTACTATAACAAGTCATATTTTTTTATATATAATGATTTTGTTCTAAAATTTGGTTTACAACTTCAATCGTCAAAATTAATGCTTATCCACAATAATAGTATTTTGTTTGCTCTTAAAAGAATAATAATAGTTGGTCTTGTGTTGGCAAAAATAGGATAGTTAAATGAAGAACACTAAGATCAGTTAAAAATAACTAAGTAGGTAGGTATTCACTTGAATAAGAGAAGAGAATACGTCTTAAGATACATAAAAATTTGTCGTATGTAACTAAGGCTAGCTGGCTTTAAAAAAAAGAGAAATTCAGTTGAGTTTCTTGCCAGTTCTTCTCATGCGAATCTGTAAAATTGACGTTCATAAAATTATTTTTTATTTTATTTGATTTACAGTCATATAAAAAAACTTGTACGCAGTAATAAGATACCACTATTTACGCAAATTGCCAGTTGCAATTTGCGTAAAATGGACAAAACTTGTAACTAGCAGATTAACATTAAAAAAAAACTGTTTTTGTAGCACCTACTTCCCTAAATCCTAACAGCTAAAAGCTAACATCAATATGAATACCAAACTGTATACTCAGCACTTAATATAAGTGCTAAGTACACAGATTAAAACAATTGCAGACTATGCAATAACTTTATTGCACGTCATCCTTTTTTACTTAGCACTGGAGTTGTGTCCACTCCTTTTCGCTTGAAGTAGTATTCCGAATAAAAACTTATGTTTACGATTTTTTTGTTTGTAAATTAATCGAATACCTATATACAAGATAAGTGCTTGTTTAATAAATGCTACAGTACAAGTATCATCCATTTGTGACAACCGCAAACAAATCGGTTAAACTGTTTTCCAGATTAGCATTCATAGACAAACAGACAAATATACTTACTTAAAAATATATTTCATTGTTTCAGTAACGTACCTTACTAAGAACAACGCGTAAAATAACTTTTTAAAACTATATTTAATGTTTAGTAACATTAAACGTAGCTCATACACCAAATAAATTAGGTTCAGTATAATGAAACAAATTTTGTGATTAACATTTTTATTATTGTAATACGTAATAACTTCTTAATCAGAAATACACAAGTTTTTTAGCATTAATTTAGTAATAATATAATAGTGTGATATAAAAAAGTAGTAGACGTGATATATAGGCAATTTTGGTTTCTTACTACTAACCCAAGCGGGTGCGTAAACACAGAACAGAGAACTTCTCTGTACTATGGGCGTCACAATAGAGTGGCAAGCGAGTGAAATGCCGGCCGTGGCCAGGACCCTGACGGACGGAGGCCCCTTATTGGTGAGTGGAGACCCTGATCACAGCAAGGATTTAACAACACTATCACGAAGCGTATACACAGGTAGTCAGAGGGATCGACAACTGTCGACGTTGTGATGAGTGTTACACTTGACTCGCCCACATATTGCTTAGTAGTCTTTAATCGAACGTGGCGGGAGGCTAGCCTTTCCCCCTAACAAGATGAGGTCTGTCTTATCTATTATGGGGTGGGCCAAAGTCACGGAGGCGATGGCGCTTGTTCTGAAAGAAAAGGTGGATAGCCTATCGCTGTCTCTCACTATTGATTCTTCCTGTGACGAGTCAGTTATCAAAAATTTACATCAAGTTTTTTTGTCGTCAACTACTCTTAGGTGTTAATCACTCTCTTAAAACACTCTACTACTATGTAAATTATTTTATAATTCGATGAATTTGCTACATTAGTTTATACCATAAATACATATTTAAGTTTTAAGGTCTAAGATCGGAATTATATTTTCTAAGCATGTTAAAGTAGGAATAAGCCGTGGTAATGATCTGAAAAAAGGAAAAATTTACTTTAGGAAACCATTTTCAAATGAACTTTATAAATGTTTCGTAATGTTTAATTTTTTAATGACTTTTAAATAACCCACTTTAGGTTATAAATACTCAATATAAGAATATACTTATGTATAATATCATATAATGATAGATACATTATGTGAGAAAATGTTTGAGGATAAAAAAGGAGGTAAAATTAGTTCGGATTCTGTTATGTTCTGTACGGATTCTGTTCTCTGTGCCTAACCCGCAATGGTTACGCGACTGGTTATGCGACTGTGAAGACAGGATATATATTATAGTAATTACTGAGGAAAATGTTTCCAGTTGCAATTGTGGTAGTCCTATGAACTTGATGGTGACCGGTCGTTGCGAGCGGTGTATCACCAGCAACATGTCAGCACGGATCAGTATGCCCAGACGTGTCTTGTACCAGTCGCTGTTCCAACACGCATCGCCTACTGCATAACCCTGAGTGAGATGAGAGCAGTCAGGGGCCATCTATAACTTACACATATATTATTTATTGCACAGATAATACAGTAATATTATATTTTAGAGACAAGACCTCGAAGAGATCTCTTCCAGTTAACCAAAAACAGTGGCATAGGTGATATTAAAAGAGTAGTAATTGATGCAAAAAAGGACAAAAACTACTAAATAAAATTTAAATTGTACAATTTAATACATAAACAGATATATGTTCATAAATATTATATCATAATAAATAAATATGAAAGTAATCAATCAATGGCAGAAAGGTAATAATGATTAAATTTTTTTCTTGGATTCAATAGATGGACTCGGCTGAATGTAGCATAAATAACTGCCCGCCAATTAAAAAAATTAGGTACTTACTTTGTCTCGTAATAATGTGCCTAAGAAACATGGTACCAACAACTGATAACATCCCCCAACTAACAGCATTATGAAAATGATATCGACATTTCCGTTCTCTAGTTTCTAAAATAAAATAAATATGTGGTAGTATAACTTTAGATAATTCACACAGCGTCATCTTAAGCAACAAAAAAACATTAAGCTAAGAAGGGCTTGTGTTATGGGTACAGGACAACTGATATAAATACTTAGATATATTTTTTATAAATAGAAAAACACCCTAACCGATACAAACAATCATACACAAGAATACAATATACTTGCACACAACAAATAATTTTAATTTTTTTTACCCGGGGTAGGTACCCCTGCTAGAAAGGCTTTGATTACTTCAAGATACATGTTGAAAGCTAAAAATCATTGACTTACTCTATAACGAGGCCTTAAAATATTGATAGAACCTGCAGTTTTAAGTGTACGTTAAGGTCTCTCCTACAAACTTACATTTATAGGTACATTATGTATTGGGGTGTCGTCGGTTACTTACATCAGCGATTTGGTAACTGACCAAACATAAACCCATTCCGGAGAACATTACTTGGTACATTATAGGTGGTCCAAAAACAGAAGATATTGTTTTCACGGACCTGCAACACATTGACAGGTAGATTTAATAATTATTATAATCTGCAACCGAGACCTCGTACGCTTTGTATTCGGAATAATAGTACTTTTGAGGTTGTCCATAAAGATATAATGATTAGATCTGAGGGTTGACAACAACCGACACTTTGACCTATGGACCCATGACAAATCACTAATTCATTATTACTAAATTTCTAGTTACTACAAGTTATTTACAAAATTTATAGACAAGAAGAATATTTATAGAATATTTTTATAATTACCAATTTTAAGTTTCTAAGTAAAAATGTAAATATTATACTTAAATACTGAGAGATGCCAATTCACGATCCGCTTCATTCTACTACTCAGAGTATACTGCGCTTGCATACGAATTGGATGCTGCGGAGACAAGTACGTCACTGTTTCGTCCAGACCATCAAATATTACTTCAAAATCCTTTGTAATTAACTCCAATATGTAGTAGTAATGTAGCAAGACGTGAAGCAACATGGAAATATATCCTGCAAATATTTTTGTAAACTTGTCATCAACTCTTTAAAGAATTGTAATCAGCGTAAGAATAACCCATTTATGGTACTGCTACTGGTACGGCTCTCTCCTCGTGAGAGAAGAACTTTTTGCTTTATTTTAGGAAGATTGACGGTGTAATTTTTCTTGTTACTACTCATATTTTTACCTTCTACTTTATATTTTTGGCTAGGTCAGTATCTGCTTTGTATAATACTTTTTTAATTATTTATAACTAGCTGTCCCCGCGACTTCGTCCGCGTAAAATAGTGAACTTGACTAAATAATGAAAAAAATATTTAATGATCTAACCCAATAAAAGCCAAATGAAAAAGTTTCATTATTTTATCTTAAAAAATGACACTTCCATACATAACTCTTTCAACCCCTTATAACTCATTTTCTTTATATATATTTAATAAATAGGCTAAAAATTAAACTTCAAGCTTCTAGCTTTAAAAACGACTATATTTCCATGTAAACATTTGACTCTCTTTTAAATTCCTTACAACCCATTTTTCTTTATTTATATTTAATCAACAGCCTAAAAATCAGTTTCAGGCTTTGAAAATGGCGATATATCTATACAACCTTGCACCTTTCAATCCCCTTACAACCCTTTTCCACATTAAAAAGTACCCTATATCCCACGATGCCCACGCTGATAGACTCAGGTGTCCATCGAATCCTCCCCCCCGCCGGTGTCTCGGGTCGAGAGATTGTACCCGAGCGACCGTCCACCTTACCTTAATCCGACCCGCCTGGATTAGGGTTTAGGCTGCTGCAACCGGGCATCGCACCCAGTTTGAGCCCACGCCGGAGGGAGTGCGCCGGACCTCGCCCGCCTGTATGCTTGTTTCCGCGCATCCTCCCACTCGCGGCAACGACGTTCTCGGATGTTACTGAGTCGTCCAGGTCACATAGTCTCAGCTCAGCCGATTTCTCCGGCCTGGTGACCCGGACTTTTCCTACTGGCAAGATCACTAACCTTGCGGCTAGTGAGTTCGCTTTGTCGCCGGTATCGGCACCTGGCACTTCTAGGATGCGACATCCAGTCATACCCAGCCGGAACCGTAGGTCGGACAACCTTGTATGCATGGCATGTACCCTTTCAACCCCTTATAACCCTTCTATCGCATCCAAAAGTATCCTATGTGCTTTCTCAAGATCTAGACTAATTGTGTACCAACTTTCACTTAAATCTGTTCAGTAGTTTTGGCGTGTAAGTGAAACTGACAGACAGACAGAATTACTTTTACAGTTATAATATTAGTAAGGTATTTAATAAACTAACTCAAAAATCCAATAAAAAAAGTTTCATAGGTCTGGCTCCAAAAATGGCGAATTTACCTAAAATCTTTCGTCCCCTATTTTATTTTACCCCCTTAAGGGTAATTTTATACAAATTTTGAATGTCATATTCATTTATATTTAATCAACAGCCTCAAAAATAGGTTTCAAGCTTCTGGCCTCAAAAATGACGAACTTACATAAAAACTTTCATCCCCTATTTTATTTTACCCTCTTAAGGCTAACATTTTTATAAACTTAGATGGCCTATTTATTTATATTTAATCAACAGCCTCAAAAATAAATTTCAAGCTTCTGGCTTCAAAAATGACGAATTTACATAAAAACTTTATCCTCTATTTTATTTTACCCCCTTAAGGTTAACATTTTTACAAAATTTCCAAGCTTATTTATTTATAATCAATCAACAGCCTCAAAAATCAGTTTCTAGCTTCAAAAATGACAAATTTACATAAAATCTTTCATCCCCTATTTTATTTTACCCCTTAAGGGTAAGATTTTTACAAACTTAGTATGTCATATTTATTTATATTTAATCAACAGCCTCGAAAATAAGTTTCAAGCTTCTACCTTCAAAAATGACGATTCTTCCATACAATCTTTCATCCCCAATTTCAACCCCTTACAACCCTTTTTTCGCATTAAATGCCTATGTCCTTTCTAAGGGTCTAGACTATCTGTGTACCAAATTTCATTTAAATCGGTTCAGTAGTTTTGGCGTGAAAGCGAGACAGACAGACAGACAGACAGTTACTTTCGCATTTATAATATTAAGTAAGGATTTAATATATTTCAATTTTCCTTTCTTATATCGGTGTTTTATTACTACGTCCTCGTTTATTTAAATTTAAATTTATAATAAATTCAATAATGATCAAAATTCAAGTAGCTTTTGCAGTCAAGATGTCTCTACTACAATATACATATAAGATGAAATCACTGATTAACCATGTGGCCTATTTAATTTTATAACAACAGATACTTACCAGCAAACAAATGGTCGGTAATACTCAAAGAGCATAATTCAATAAACAGAAGGATTTCATAATTTGGTGTCCTGTACGGATCACCAGCCGGCAGCCAAATAGGAAACATTAATGGTCTCACATCACTCTCCAGAGAACCAAATAAACTGTGCATCACTAAAGATCCGATTAATAAAGAAATGTACAGGATACCGATTATGATTGAAAATAAGTACCATGCACAGCACAATTTATGTATGAGCAATTGACCTCTTAGAAATGTATTTCTGAAAAAAAAATGTGGACGAATACGTACATAGGTAAATACACATGTTGTTCTAAAATATAATAAACTGAGAATGAAACAGAAAGCTTAGAGAACAGAAAAACATTAGATATTGTCTTCTATATTATATCTGTGGAAGTCATGTATTGATATGTAAAAGGTATATGTATGTGAAAGGTACTAAATGATGACGTTCTCAGTAGTAGGTATATATTATAAATTTACGAAATATTTAATTATTCCTTTCCGTTGTCTAATATCATAACAGAACTAGGTATGCTTAGCCTGAGATGGCGCTGTGTGGGTTATCCAGGGTTATTAATATTATTATTATTGTAACATTATAATCAATGTGTTCTCGATTTTCTATGAACCACTTGAAAGTTGCATATGCGAGTTAAGTTCCAGGTAAAATAGTATATAAATAAAAACCCAGAATTGTTAGTGACGTCGTTATGTAATGAAGTTAATAGTGTTGTGGTTGGTAGGTACTTAGTTTTAACTCATGAAATATGAACACGTAAAAAGAAATAATAAATCTAATTTAGGGAAAGACTTAACAAAACGCTGTAACAATTTTTTAAATAGCAATACTACCTGTATTTGAAGTCCATTATACGAATAAAAAGAAAATCATTGTTCATATCCTCTATTAGGTGAAGAATTTTATCTTTATTGGTAAGTGTGCCATAATATACAACTAGGACCATACCTAGCACTAAACAATATAAAAAGCACTCTGTTGCAAGCGAGTAATCTTTCACAGTAATACCGTGAAAAACACATAAACTTTCTAAAACTATGCTCACAATTATGAACAATATGCACAAACAAGGCAATATAAATCTGAAAATAATGAGAAATATTATTGTATTGTGAATTATTGTAGTCTCAGATCAAACGACTCATACATTTTATTCATCCTTACTAATATTATACGTGCGAAAGTAACTCCTTCTGTCGCGCTTTCACGCCAAAACTCTTAAACCGATTCTAAATTTCAATGAAATTTGGTACATAGTTAGTGTAGACTCTGAGAAAGGAGATAGGCTCTTTTGTGCTTGTATTTTTTAATGCGTAGGGGATGTAAGGAAAGATGAAAGTTTGTATGGAAGTTTAGTAATTTTCAAAGCTAGAAGCTTGAAACTAATTTTTTTTTTGTATAAAGAATTATTAAATGCACCTATTATTATTTTATTTAATTTATACCTATAAATATAAATAAATAAAATAAAATAATTATTTATACCTACTTTATCAAGCCGGAGTTGGCCTTCAGCCGCTCCATAAGTCCTTCCGAGGGTTTGGAGTGCTATTTGCACTCACATCCTATCGACCAGTGAAGCTGTAAGGCCAGCTGAGACCAACAGCATTTAAATAGTCCGAAAAAAAAAATTTTGTACTGTGTATTTAATATATATATATATTTATTATAATAATCGAGTAGAGAGAATAAATACTTGACCTTATAAGCGATTCCCGATTATTTGTAAAAATGCCCATAATTGCTAGATAAATATACAACCGCGGATGAAAATTTATTAAATTTATATTAGGCGAATCGAAGTCATGGTCTGTCTTCATGAAGAACTCCTTAAACTTTTTTGTTAGTGTCATGTTTAACATGATCTGTGTAGCGTATAACGGTAAAGCACGTCGGAACTTTTATTCGTGATAATTCGATAAAATGAGATAATTGAATAATTATGTCATTATATAATTTAAATAAATTGGCTGACTATTATGTGAGTGCATACTGTAGTATGTAATGACCAATCGTAGTTAACAAGGAATCTAGCAAGTAGTTACTACCTACCTAGTTATTACTTCAATTACTAGTTATGTAAGGTTATCCTATGTTAGTAATCTTTATGCATGATGAATTACCATGCGCTTGTAATATTAAATGATTTCTTTTATTTTGTGTTACGATTGCAGTTTGGCTCAATAGACATTTCATTAAAATCGGTTCTGTAATTTAATTTTTAAATAAAATTAACTGAAACAGCAATTCATTCAGTTATATTTGCAGTCATTACTACATTAAACAAAACTGCCTACTCTACAATATCAGAGATGATTATTCAGACTATGATAATAAAAAAATTGCAACTTAAACGTAATGATTAAGGTCGATATAATTAACAATAATAATAGATCGATTTCTACGCTGTTTCGTCTGGAATAATCCCGATCCTTTTCCTTAGCGAATTCACAACGATGGCCTAACAGACCTGACATAATACTCACATATTATAATTAATCCCGCATACCTATTATTAATGCAAGTAGTGTATCCACGCTATATATATATATATATATACATCTATTTAATTTACTAATCTTATTTTTCTATTAATATATCTAGTAATAATAATAATTTGTATGACACATTTTATTAACATTAATCCTACTATGAATAGGTAATTGTAAAAAAACAATTTAATGTTAAAATATAAAAATTATTATTAATTATTAATATTGAAATTACAACAATACATACTTGTAACAACTTATAATATAGTAACATTAATATTTGTCAAACCAAATTACAAAACGTTTACGGCAAACGAATTTCGAGCAAATGGAATGAAGGTGAAATGTATTTATTTATTACAAGGGTCGGCAACTCTCACGTTACAGCACTGGTGTTTCCGGCATCAATTGGTTACAGTAATTATATACCGTCCGATACTGTGGTATAAAATATCTTTAGAACTATTTGCATGATTATGCTCGTTTCTCTTAAGTAAACCTGGCACAACCAGTTTTATTGTCTCTTAGCGGTCCATCATTTTTCCTTTTTAGTTTACTCCCTAAAGGTCATATTATTAAAAAAAAATGTTCAAAATTCAACTATTTAATTTCAGATCGCTGTATTTATAGAATTCTTAAGCAATATCTACTGAAATAGATTTCGTATTGTTTGGTAGAATAATTAAATTTGTATGTATATATGTACATATCTGAAAAACGTTTTTGTTTGCAATGTTTAAACGTCTATAATGCATTTCTTATATATTATGTTATGGGTGACTTTTCGAGCACGTTTGTCCATTTATTTCCAGCCAGAGACAAAACTGTTTTTGAAAACAGGCAAATGGTATGATTTACTATGTATATCCCTATTATATATACATATCTACATAAATTGCATTTCTTGTCTGTGTTAAAATAAAGTGATGTTGCGGACTAAAAAAGATGTATAAAACTAAAAAAATTAAGTAATTAATGTAACGTATTTTATCATTTAGTCCGCAATCATTCCACACTAACAAATAAAAATACGGGTCACATTACACAATATGTACCATAAAGGACATATTTTATTGATGACAGCGAATTATTCTCTATTTATAAAACAATGTCATTTTTATATCAGACACGCAAAGTGATTGTTATTACTTCACTATTAATTAAATTATATATACAAGTCACTCACATCACAGTATATAATCTTTAGAATAATAGCATTTACAATATTTATACTTTAATATACCTATCAATCTAAACAAAATCCGTATATTGAGTATGGAGGGCGTAAGACATGAGTCTCAGTACACCATTAACCAAGTACATTGTCAGGATTATATTTATGTCACCAACGTTGTAAATAAAAACCTCACTATAATGATGAGTTTCTGATCATTCTGTATGTACCGTCAGTAGTAGCAAGTTCATTCATCCATCCATCCATCATAAGCCGTAAAAACAGTCCTTATACATATTATTATTATATTTCATATTATTATTATTCACATCATTATTATTATATTCTTATATTTCATAACAATAAAAAACGGCGCTTTAGTGTTAATTCCTTTGTAAATAAGAAATAATAAAACAACATAACAGTTAATGAAATAGTTTTGCAACTTACAATATTTTCTTCTACATTTCCAAGTAAATATCCATATCATAACAATACTCTACTAATAGGTAATAATCAAAATAAAAATTTGAAATTTCATGGCAAATAATAGAATTGATTAAATTAATTACATGTAGCTAAGTATTTACAATTATTTCTTATGCTATAAATGCCGTCTTCTTAAAAGTCGAGCTCGCCGTCAATCAATGTAGTTCCGGACGATCGCAGCCGCAGCCTGTTGGCCGATGCTCTCTAGAATCATCGCGAGTGACCTCGACGTTATTTTATCTCCACTTTCCTAGAATATAAATTTACATCACAGAGGGAGAAAATACATACTTAACATATAGTTAAGTATGTAATAAGAAATATACATGTTTCAAAATTAAAAATAACCAGATGTTATGTTTACTATATTGATTTCATGCACAAAGTCGTCTAGGTGGGTACTTTTATATCGCCTATTTCAGCAACCATGCAGTTTGCTTTGAAAAACGTGTTTAAGTATATGATAATCGAATAAAATACAGGGTATGGAGACATGATAGTGACGTTATCCGTCGAGACTGATGGGTCGTCAATGTTTTGCCTTTACGGTGTGGATTGGACGATCCATACAGCGCCATCTAGGGCTTGTGTTAACTTATATAAATACTTGAATACATCGTATTGATTGTACATTTGGATATACCTTAAGATAATTGAGCAATGTAGTAGTAGGGTTGCCAGTGTGCTCGAGCCAGCTGATCAGGGAGTCGAGTTGCAGACGCGCTACGAGTTGCCGCCAGCCGCCGCTCGCGTCCAGCAGAGCCGCCACCTCCTGCCGGTACTGCACCAGCCCCCTCAGACCTTCAGCACTCCGCATCTCTGTGTCTCCCAACGATCCCGATGGACACTGCCGATCATATAATAATAAATGTAAAAACAAACAGCAAAAAGTTGTGAAAATAAGGCTATAATATATACAGTCCCCAGATATTACTCGAGTCTCTCAGTTACAGGTTGTATTAGGACAGGACTATGATAACAAACAAAACTGTACATCATAATAGACCCTACATAAACACTACATGATAATAAAAATAAAATAGTTTATCTTATAAATATTGCAATACTAAACACTAATATTACCTAATCATCTATTATCACAACAGAAAAAAATGCTAAATATACTGATATGGCAATAGAACTAAAAATACAATGCCAGGTATAAGAAACATTGAAAATTCTTCCAATTATTATCTCGTCTACAGATGTCTTCTAACATCCTTACACTTAGCCTCAAGATATTACAAAATTAAAATTATAAAAATGTATTCTTGTATTGATTAATAATCATATTCAAATCAATATTATTAATAATATAAACGAGGAAGCCTGTGATATTTCTTCTAATCTCATAAGCAGAGGGGTCAAACGAGCTTGCGAGACACCCGATACTAAATTATTAACGTGGCTAATAATGAGGGATTAACGCCATGTGAATTGCTCATAACCAATAAGAAGGAATATGCTCTTGCTCTATGCTGGGCGTTAAATCCACAATGTGCTTTTGTGCGTAACAACATTTTTTTAGATACATACTCGATATAGGATCGTCAATCATGCGCATCATCAGAATGGTATTTCAATGGATGGCAATTTTTTTTATAGATGATAATGAAATGGTACACCCGCCTGCGCTGACGGTTTACGCTGGCGGGTCACCAGTGGAGGATGATAAGACGAACATGAGATCAGGTCAGTTAGCCCATCGTGACAAATTCACCAGGAATTTATTCCAGGGGGAAATGCGTGTAGGTCAACCTGACATGGTACATTGGTAGTACCTAATGGGGTCATGAGTCCACATTAATAACAATCCTCTCCCCCCAATGGATGGGTATTATCTTTCAAACAAAAACTGTATACAACATAGTCTATTGAAGAGTCCATGTATCCCTTATATCCCTTACACGATTACGATTGCATAAAAAACTTACACTTTCAGTATCCGATTCGTCGTCTACTTCGCTTTTGAAGTCATCGTCTTCTGGTTCGGACTTTATATCGTCCTCATTAATCATCTCCAGTTGATCGGCAGACGTATACGATTTGATCACAGCCCTGATTTCGGGCTCCTGCTTCGCCAGGTGCCATGCCGATTTATTCCCGTTGAAAGTTGGATTAGCCTGTAAATTATGTGTTATAATATAATAGTTGTTAAAACTTGTTTATTTTACAACCAGATTTTTTTAATATGGTAATACATTAATAAACATGTGAATATGACATCACATTCTTTTTCTTTTCTTGTATGGCATTCACGATGTAAGGGCATTCATCACATCGCCAGTCATCACATTTTATTTAATGGTAGATTATAGATTAATTAATGGCAGAGAAAATGATGAAGCATGCTCAGAATAATGTTTTAATAATTAAATAAATGAAATTGTTCTACTACAATAGGATGCATAGGTACAGACGATACTAGACAATATGGATACAACTTTTCTCAAATGAATAGATATGGAATGAAAATTAGGAATAGGTACTAGGAAAAGCAGCACATCCGGACTTCAAATGACAACGTAAGAGGCAGCCTCCTACCGGTGCCCTCAAACTAAACTCGTATCCGTCGTCCGGTGAAACAGTAAAGGCTAGCTGCGGCATTAGAATAGTCTATACGAGGAAGTAAGTTAATGGATTAATAATATTTTGTATAAGTCCGCTTCCATTAGAGTGCATGTGACCTCAAATATTCAGTATGCCCGTTATTGGATCTACACCCAATATAGTGCGACACATATTTCACTTCTGAACAAGGCATCATCAGCCAATGAATGCAGAGCTCGGATCAGCTTTTGTGGTGGTGATATAAATCCATAATGTAATGAAATGAAATACCGCAAAAACACCTAATTCTATAAAATATATAAGAGGAAGTTTGTGCAGCCAATACCACAATACGTACGTGTAATATTCTACTCTTATATGGGAAAGATATATGTTCAATAGTAGGACATTATCTGTTGACATATTAAAATATAAAGAAAAAAATAAACTGTACCTTTTTCTCTAAAAGTAATTTAACCATTTCAAGTGTATTCTTTTTCATCCCACCACCGCAAACGATCTGCAACGCAGTGTAACCGGTCTCGTCAACGGCGTCCACATCGCTCTGAAAATAGATAAGAGTTTTTACAACTTAAATATTACATAATAATATGCTAGATAGAGAAATCAAAATATTTTCTCAAGAAACCTGTCTTAATCGAGATAAATTAAAACAGTTAGAATAGGATACAAAATCGGTTGGATATTAACATAACCTATGCCTAAACACATGTCACCGTAAATACGAACGCAGACTCATCAGAAGAAGAACGAACGAGGAACTTAAATGACGTTCTAAGTAGATACACATCAAGAAGGATTAGTCATGCGACAATCAACATAGAAACCTCGACGCACTCAATCTTAGTTCAATCAGATAATATTGTCAGCTCTATCTTAAGTTAGAGTGTTGTTGAAAGAAATAAAAGGTACCTGGGAGGCGTGCAGCAGCAGCTCGCGGAGCACGTCGACGTGGTCCATGTCAGCGGCGCGGTGCAGCGGCGTGCGCGCGCGCAGCTCGCGGCGCCCGCAGTCGGCGCCGCGCGACAGAAGTGCGCGCGCCTTCGTGCTCGAGTCGTAAATCGCCGCCAGGTGCAGCGCCGTTTGGTTTTCTGAAGCGATCCACGTTCATTTTACTACTTTTCTTTTAACTATTAAAAATTACGTAGTTACTGATAATTTTGAAATTTTAAACGTGTCTTTAAAAGATGTGATATTTGACGAAGATAGTCATACAGGAGACTGCCTTTTAATAACGAGAAGCTGTTCTATTGGGAGCAGCTATCTACATGCCATATATTGGACACCACGTCTGCTAATAGTACACTGATTGCAATTTTTCTAAATAAAAAAATATGTACTTGGAAAATATGTGCAATAACGATTTTAAAAGAATAGTAAAATGCTCACGATTTCTGCGTTAAATCGCAAGCACGTGATCGTGCGTGAAAGAATGTGTATAAGCAGCTAAGTAAGCTGTTAAGTAAACGAACTTATAGAAGAGATTAGAGCCTCTTAGACTAGACTTAGACTAGAGCCTCTAATTCCATCAGTCTGAGGGCACCTCTAGGAGTTCTGATAACGGCTCAGGTCATCGTAATTACTCAATATATATTGACGACATTGATGGGATTGTAGGAGCTAGTCTATCTAGTATTTAGTTTTCCGATTGTCACAGGTTATTCCTCGCACGATGTAGGTATATTAATGTGTTTGTAAAAAAAAAAAATTTAAGTAACCAGTTATTGACTGGCCATAATATAAGCTCTGCTTAGCTTGGCACTAGATAACGCTGTGTGAATTGTTCAGGGGCATTTAATATTATATAGTTGTTTAATTAATTTATTGTTAAAGTGGAAGGAATACAGAATCGTTAAATGGGTACCTATTTGACACCAAATTCTGCCGCTTTTATTGTGTGTTTGTTTTGTTTCCGTGTGATGTTTGTGGCCACGAAAGCATGCTACCTTAGTTCTTGTGAATGTATGTCCCGTATAAAATATAAATTATAGATAAGTAAGTTTTTATAGTCGAGTCACATTAATTGGGATAAAAATTATTCATGATCGTATAATATGACATTATTATTCTTAAATAATTTAAGATGACGATATATGTATATTATACATTGAAATACGTGCCGTAAAATAAGACAATCAATATAATTAATTAAATGTTACTTAGTATAAGTCAGTTGTCATACCTACAAATAATTGATAATTATTTTTTGTTTCTAATACAACAATAATAAAAATTACAATTTAATATAATAAACTTGTATAGTTTTTAATGCGTATACATTTATTTATGTAAGTTGTCCAGCTTTACTAAAACACTACTGTTATAAATTTTTATTTAATTTTATTATCAGCAATAGTTGTAACAATTTCTTGAGACTTACCTATGTTTGTTGCGTTCAAGTCGTGTGTAATTTTATTCTTCTGTATGGCGTCTAATAACGCTTCAAGACTGCTTGCGGAGCGCTGGCGGCATACTGCGTAGTGGATCGCATTATTACCCTCGATGTCCGGCATCATTGGATCGCAACCTGTATCATATAACGATACAATAAAAAAGAAAATCGCTTTCAGCCAACCTGGTGTTTAATTTATTAAAACAAGTAGTTTTAATATCTTTGTGTTATCCCTACAACGTGATTTACTGACAATTTTAATTGTCCCTTTATCCATATTGAAAAAAAAATTTTCTTTTTATCGATTGTTTTTATATACACCATATAGTAAACGTATGTATATAACCATCTCTTTTTTATCATTACTTTTACATATAATGCAACATGAAATGAAGTCAAACAAAAAATCTTAAGCGGCTTATCCGTTGTTTAGTAAATAAGATCAAGTTCTATTTATAGAAAAAAGTGTAACCGTTACGTAATGGGTACGTGTTCAACGTTTTTCACACATTCTGGACAATCTCTAGTTAAACTTGAAACATGGGCATAAATCATACACATATAAATTCTGGCTAAACCATGGCTGATTTTATTATAGACTTTTAAGATACGTATTCATATTAGCGTATGCTGCATATGCTTGTAAAGTTAAAACAACATTTTGATACAACTGAAATATACATTAAAAATTGCATAGTCTTTAAAGAACAATAATTAGTATTACAGTTTTATTTCGATCTATATTTTTAAGAAAAATAAAACTAAGTAAATCGGCCTTGGAACATTATATTTATCGACACGTAATTCTTTGCCTTACTTAAGAAGATATTTCTTAATAACATTCTGTATAATCATTTTTTGTATATAGTCGGAAGGAATTAAAACACGGATATTCGCAATGATGATTCACTGTTACTAAAGACGGTTCAATGATCAATACACTTATCACGGCTTCTATCCTTAGTAGAAATAACATTCGAGGTTCATTGAATACTTTGACGGTTCCTTTAGCGGCATTGAATACCCTGACTGAGTCTGAGTTTTTTTCATATTATCACTTGCAAAATTGATTAAATATTTTTAGGTTCTTCGATACGTTCTAAATATTTTATTGTAAAATCTGTCGCTTACTTTGTGCCGATATCCTTTTAGCCTACGTTTTAACTTATTCATTTATTGTTTATTTTTACGTCAGTTTAAGACTTGTAATGAAATAAATCACCATTAAGTTCCATAAATCTAAAGATAGCCAAGGAACACGACATCTGTCATGCCATGTTCAAGTAGCCTCGTTTTATGGTATGGTATAGTAAAATAATGTTATAAGAGCCAATACTCAATTGTAAAGACATTAATCAAGATGTATATAAACAATTGATAAAGTTAACGCGTAACATAAAAGTATAATCAAATTGAAATCATTCCGTTTTTTTTTAAATCTACTAAATTTTTTCCCTTACCTTTAGATACTAGGAATGTTATAAGCTCAGGTGACTCATGGACGATAGCTAAATGTAGCACAGTCTGCGATAAATTGTTCTTCAAGTTCAACAAATGGGGCATGTTCATACTGTGTATGAGTTTCACGATGTACTTTAAACTAGGCTGCTTGCTACATAGAGTCATATGCAAGAATCTGCAAAAAATAAAATAATAATAAACAACCAGGACAATTTACTTTGCACCATCCAATTCTAAACTAAGCAGGGCTTGTATTATAGATACTAGACAATTAATATACTAATACTTTTTTGTAAGAGCATACCCAGATCAATACAAATAATCATTCTCATAAATACAAACACCGTTGGACGAATCGAACCCGAGAACATCGTAAGTAATGCGGTATGCTAAACCACTAGACCATCGTGGCCGTAAAATAAAACTAATATCGTGTATATTCTGGCACGATACAAATAATTTTATTTATGAGAATTAGTGATAACAATTGATATTGATAATTTGTAAAACACAAGACTCTAAATACTATAGAAAATAACTAACAATTATGAAAGGGGAAGGTACAAAATATATGAACATTATGTACTCACGTGTCACCATTAGTTAATCTTTTCTCGAATAACTGTTCCAATTTCTCTCTTACTATTTGGTTTTTCATTGGATTTTTCTGACGTATTATTTCACATATTTCAGCGACCAGCTGTAAGTAAAACATGAATAATACCTACGTATAATAACAGGTATAAAAAATGGTACAGAATATGCCATATTATTGAGTATATTCAAATTGCATTTGAGTGTCCATTGACTTACATATCTAACCATAAACTGCAATTATAATAATTTATAAATCAAAGTTTTAAACTAACATTACTCCTTTCTACTTTTTCATATGTTACCTGAAATATTTTTTCAGTATTTCATTAAACAAGTGATAACGGAGTACATTTGTATGAGAATACACAGTTCTGCGATAATATTGCGTATATTGAAGAAATTTGCGTAAGGATTTTATGTGTAAAATTAAAAGATCTTAATAGCTTTAGTTCGTCTTTGTGACCCATTTTTTTTTTCATTCATCACGTATAGTATATACATGTAGTATAAAACAGTTATTCCAATATGACAAACAGACACTCTAACTTTATTTATATATATATAGATGTATAGATAAGTATATAATGAATTCACAAGAACGGCACAATACAATTTGTATTCTATATTTACCTGTTTCACTGCCATCCCATCTGCTGAGGTATAAGATGCCGAATATTCGCTGTTCGCTGTTTCAATTGTAGGCTTCACGTCCTCATTTTTAGTTGATTTCACCTCAGTAGTTAGTTTGGCCTTTTTTTCACTCCCCTATAAAATTTTAATAATATCTATTTATGTTTATTGTGTAAGCTAAGACGTTTGAAATTATTAAAGTAATTTAAATATTTTCTAAAATATCTATATGCTTAGTATTAGGTAATACTAACCATGATACGTCGCTAGTCCAGTATGTTTCCAATATATTTAAAGAGTAAGTTTTATATTTATATTTCGTAAGTTTGTCATAGTCATGAGACTATGATAAACTTGCGAAATTATCTGTGCATGTGTTGCCGTTTTGTGAGTCACAATTAACTACAGTACCTAAATGTGACGTAAATATGTACATATAGATATATATATTGATATAAAGATAAAGTAAGAACAGTAGGAAACATTTTATTAAAATAACTATTCTGTAAAGGAACAAAACTGATTTACCGTGGCTCCCGATATAGCACATTTAAACCCTGTTAATCCTAGTGACAGTAGTAAGCTCGCAAATTGCCATGTTTGCTTCAAATATACCTATAGAGCAAAATGTCGCTATTTCAAGTAGCGCTCTAGTTCAAATAACTACTCTAATGCTGTTGGCCAAAAAATCACTCAACTATAACTATGGCATTTGAAACCGGCGGCGGAAGGACTTAAGGAGCAGTTAAAGGCAGCCCTGCCTGATGGATACGACTTTACTACACCGCCTTTAGTGCACCGCTAGAGGTTCGACCTGGGATCAGGTTGTCGTAATATCGACCCGTTTGAATTCGACGGGGGATCGATCGGAGGAGAGATGACGCGTACACTACATTTTGTATAGTAGACAATGCTTCTAAACCCATCTGAGATTGTAGTGGAATTTTTAATCTTCAAAATAAATATCAAAAGTCGTGACAGTACCACAATATAATGACTAAACACAGACAGTGAACATGATTACTTGGACGTATTACTTTAAGACTATTAATAGATATTTTGAAGTACAAATCTTAAAATGTAGGGTAAGTAATGTAAAAAAATGTTCCAATTAACTTTATTTTTAAAAATCTTACAGCGAAAAATAATTACTAATAGTGACTGCTTAATGGTCTAATATCAGTAATTTAGGATTTTCTATTGAAAATAATATTATTGGAATAAATGGGAAACAACAAACCTTTGTTCGACCAGAGTCAGAAATCAGTTTATATTTACTTGTTACGTAGTCCATACCGCTTGGCTGCAAAAGAAAAAAATATTTAATGTTATTATTAACGGTAGGTCCCGCGACATAATGCGTGAGTACATTTGGAGATGATAGCTACTGATAATATTCAAACTAAAATCTTTACATAGTATAAAACAGAGTCGCCGTCGCTCTCTATTTGTTTATATCTTTTAAATTACGCAACGGATTTTAATGCAGTTTTCAGCAAGAGATAGAGTGAATCAAGAGGAATGTTTAAATTTATAATACATCCATGCGAAGTCGGGACGGGTCGGATAATTAAAAAATACAGATGACACTATCTATATATGTATTTTATTATTATACTAATAATAATAATAATAATTTAATAATAATAATAATTTATTTCATTGACCAAGATGTTTTACAATTTTTTTTTTTACATATCAACAATCACGTATTCTTATTTATATATTTCCTTAAGCCGGGGCTGGGATCTCCTTGTAAGCATAATTAAATACTTGTGATAGGAGATCACGCTCTTCTAGGGTTATTTATTATTATATTAAGAATTTGTTTCTGTTTGTACTGTAAAAGACTGTGTGTGTGTGTGAAATTATACTAATTCATAAAATTGTAGGTGGCGTATTTAAACTAGTAATTAAATAATTAGTTCATGGTGATGTTTGTGTCAGCTTTCTATAGCCTATGTGTTGACTCATATTTAAAAACACATTCTGTAATATAACGTTTTTGTCTAATCAATATTTTTCGGGTTTTTTATATTAGCATAGTTGATCGTTTGAATAAAGGTAGCAACTGTGGTGGTACTGTAAGGTTATTAATATTTTAGTATAAAACACATGCGTATCATGTTTTTATTAGTATAGCGCGTTAATACTTGTTAATACTTGTTCTTTAGATATTGATGTTGCTGACTGGATGGAATTGTAATAGAGGACTGGAAAACAAATGAGACTAAATTACAACGTCACGTCGTACAGACCAGTACGGCTACAAACCTGCGCGGCACACGCCTGCTTCGTTATCACACATCATATACCTAAACTTGTGTGGCTTACGCGACTTGCGTCGTCATGTTTAGAAACTAAACCGAACTACATCAAGGAGAGCGATAATTAATGAGAGATTGTGCACTAATGGTTCACTACCATAAGGTGAGCCAAAATTTGGTCGACTACTGCAAACATCTAGTCAATTTATATTACTGACCGACTCACTAGTGATGTAAATAATCTATATCAAATCAAATAATGTTGGAAATAATAATATTATCCGTGGACATTTCACACAGCATTATCCAGTACCAAGCTAACAAATCTTGTGTAATGGGTACTGAACAACTTACAGATATATTTAGATATCTATTTTTAAATACATACATAATATACATAGAATATACCAATACAAACAATCATACTGATGAACACCACTAACTGATGAACAACTAAAATACACCGTTGGGTATTTATATACAATAGAACGCATTTGAGCTGCCACGTGTGTGGGCAGTTCAAACTGTCTACTTATCTATCTAAGAGAACAATCATGAAGTCACTGAAATTTGTGTTGTTATGCATACTTTCCGATAAAGTAATGTGATGATTCTGTCAGTCATCAATTGTTTTTTTTTTCAATAAATAATTACAGTAGATATTATTAAAATGAGATCATTTGGTCATGAGTATTGGAATTCCCGAGTAGATAGTGACGATATGGTACAAATGACACGCGACATACTACTACTTACATCATAAATACAAAATATTAAAATGTAGTCAAATTGATTTTCTAATGCAGTAAAGTAATATATATATATATATATACAAGGTGCTACCAAATTATTTGTGGGGGAAAATGATTGTGAGTAATGTGGACTAGCAATTCCATTGCTAGCAATGTACCATGTTAGATTGATGTCCACAATAACATTGATTATGTTTACATAAAAACATTACATATGGAAAATAAATTAGTTTTAGGTAGATGTATTTTTTAATAGATTTATATCTATCTGGCTATCTATATGGCTGGAGGGCACCAACAGAATATGATGAGGACGAACTCGAACTCGAGTCGACGTCGACTGATTGATGCGGCGAATGATAAGATCAATTACTGTAAAGATTATAAATACTACATACCTCATCAGGTAAATTATCAATATCTGGGAAGGAGTTCATGTACTCTGAAACAAAACGAAATTCTTAAATACTTAATAATAAAACAGATTAACATCAATGGTTAAAACACCGAAAGATTTTATAGTTTGTAATTATTAAACTTAAAAATATGCACTACACTTTTTTTAAATTATTATATTACACCTACAAAAAGTTGCGTTATAAGCGAATAAAAAAAGGTTGTATTTTTTTAAATATTATAATCCTTAGGGTCGGCAAAGCGCACGTGCACCCTGGTATTACAGGACAGTCTATAGGTTACGATAGCCATATACTATTATTTAGATGGGCCGTATGCTTGTATATGCTTATACATATGTGATTGTATTTTTTTCTTTTTATTTGACGCACCGTCGTCAAAAAATACAAATCACTTCAATAATTAGCTGAAGTAGAGTTTGTACAAAGTCGTTTACGTGGGAACTTATGCATGACCTATTTCACCTTTCAACCAAACTTGATTTATAAGCTGTATTACGATTGAAGACTATAATGACTGTTAAATTACAGAGCAAAGATCTTCAGAATAGCAAGATATCACGGTGCCGTAGGCGTCACAATATGACGTGATATCCGCGATGCTATTCATGTACATCACGCCATCACGACATCAGTACATATACATATAGGCGACGGTTGCCAGGTTTTGGTGAATTGCGGATTGATAGTTATGTCTACATGTTATAATTATAAGCATTTGCAACAAATATAGCATATAGTAGTTCGTATATATTTGTTTACAATGGTCATATATCTGGCTGTTTTTGATATGGCGTGTAAATTAAGGACACAGCACACACCGTTACGGCTGTTATTCTCGATGTAATAGTCAGAGACATTGTCAGTTATCGACATCATGGTGAATTTAACACTTGTCATGCCCATATTTTACTAGGTATATTTGAATCCAATGTGGCCTTCAGCGTTTTTTCGAATGATTTTTTGGTTTAATGTCTGTTTCCTTGCACAGACTGTCAGTCCAAAATATAAATAAATGGACAAAAATTTACGGATTTAACTTACGATTCTTTGGACTTTATTCAGGGTAGTAAATGAACATATTTGAAATTATTACTTACCAGCCAAGTTCAGCTCGGAAAATCGTTGTTTATCTTCAATTGAAATACTTGAATTGTGTTCAAGGTACTGCCTCAGCTCGGTGGAGGTGAAATCTGGCAATGAAGGCTGTCCTGATTGAGGAATATCGTTCACAAGGTACAACTGCCTGTTGTTGGAATCCTGGTTCGGTATGTTCAGCATGAGAGCTTCCCCTAGATCGTTATTAGGCGAATGATTCGATGCTGGAATTTGGGGTATCTGGTAACAGACAGATTACTTAAATTAACTTTAAAAAATCTTTGTTATTACTATTATAACAATTGAAGTACCTTTTATTGAATTATTTCTATTTAGTCTGATTTGTGGCCGTTCAAATATTACGTAAGCACTATGGGGGACGGCGGGTCTTTACTTTGATTATTTTGGATGACATAGGGGGATAGGGGAGTCTAGGTGATGATTAAGTCATCGGTAGTCATTTACTTTTTTACACGAATTACAACCTTCAGATTGTTTTTTAATTTGAATTTTGCTAAAAAAACAATACATTAATTGAAAAATGTTTATGTAAGCATGGGGGAGAGGGTAAGAGCTATGCTTACTTTTGCTGACAAGGGGGATGGGGGGAAAATAATTGTAATACATCTGTATGTATGTTTGTCTGGGGAATATGTATCTGTCTGGGGAAAATAATTGTAATACCTGAACCCTTTTATATATACTAATTAAAGTAAATTTAAGAAACAACATTGAAGATGTGGTATTCTATTAATATGATCGGACCACTCTTGGAGAGGTTCCGTAATGTAAGTAACAATACAAAATATAGATATAAAAATATAATAATGGGTAAGAACAAAAAAAATTGGTACACGATGATGATAATGACGATAATATCATGATGTAAGTGCCGTGTATGATTTTAACAATGCACACTTATACAGTATCACAAATCTTAATAAATAAAATACAAAATATAAAATTGTTAAAGTTGGTCATTAAAATGTCTTCTAGTATAGGCAATGCAATAATACTACACTGTGTTTATTGGAAGAAAAAAGATAGACGATCGCAATGATCAAACTCACAACTTCTAAACACAGAGATACTACAATTACAGTTCCAGGCGGGGACCAATAACAATGATGCACATCCACGCAAGTTTTGGCGCCACACTCCGGTCGAATACTTTTGGCTAATATTCAGCTATTCGGTCAGGGAAATCAGATTACTTGTCGATTATTCAGTTTCGGCGTATGACCAGATATAATATTCGTTGCAAGCCTAATAATTAAAACCTACTTTCATTGATATCATGTACCAACCGCGACCAGGTGAGAATTCCGCTAAGGGCAGTGTTAATAAAATTGTTGTCAGTTATAATTTATAAATTACGTGTTTCCTTTCGTCTTCGTTCCTGACGCATTCCGTCAGGACTTGATGCGCATCCTCTATAAGTTCACATTACAAATACTCTATAACAAGGCATGCATTTTACCATGTAAAAAAGGAACCTACTGAATTATATTATAATTACATACTTAAACACATTTTAAAATTAATAATGTTCAACTTACGGTTTGGACTGTGAACATATTAAAATCGTTTTTGGGATCATCAACGCACATGTTGGTCCTTTGCTGAAAAAAAGTGTTTATGTTAAAATAATAAATTTCACAACATTGCTAGCTGTGTATGGAATTCCTAGGCACTGTTGACTGCGAAACATTTACAAAATATTGGGTCAAATGAGTAATCTCGTGTCTAGTGATCAACAACATATAATAATAGAATAAGATAAAATAGATTATTGTTATTAAATGTTAATTATTATGCATACTTAATGTTAAAATCCGAAAATGTTTCTGTCTGTATGGTTGTTCGTTATCTTATCGCGACAAACGGGAAATTTAGGTTATTATTTTTAAACTTTCGTGTATATTTTAATATACATCACTTATATTGTTAACATGAATAAACTTATAGTACTATAAATAAAGGTATTTTTTTTCCTTTATTTGTTTCACTGACAATATTTGCTAATTTGCAAAAAAACAACATTGACTTCAGCTGCGATTTGATACAACAGAAGTTTTCTTAGGACTAATTATTTTTCACTGAGAGGTGTTTTTATATATTTATTTTATTTATATATTACGAGTATATATATATAAATATACAGATAAATAACACATAAGTTTAGAACATTTAATCGTGGTCGTAAAAGGCCCTTTCAAAAATAGTCCAATTCCTGAAAATATATTCAAATGTTTGCTCACTGTCTCCATCATACGGGCAGTATGAATTGTCTGTAATATGAAAGTGCATGAGATAATTCTTGATGTTTCCGTGTCCGGTGAGAAGTTGACAGAGATGAAGGGAGCATTCTGCTGTAGAGAAGAGTTCTCTTATATTATCGAGATGTGGGGGGAGATTTCTGATGTGTGAACCATGCTCAGCAGATATATACCTCTTTTTACATGTCATAAGAGTGTTTTTCTTATATGAGGCTTTAGCATACCACAATGAAAATTTATGGTAATTAGGAGCCTTATGCATGCGACTGGCCTCTCCAGGGGGAAAGGGGATTTTTTGTAATGTGGACTCGTGACCCCATTGCTAGCAACGTATGGTACGTTGCTAGCAATAGGGTCAGGTTGACCACCACGCGGTTCCCTCTGGAAACCATTGTGATAAATTCCTAGTTAATTTGTCACGATGGGCCGACTGACCTGATCTCATGTTCATCTTATCATCCTCCACTGGTGCCCCGCAAATGGGTGCATCATTCCATTGTCATCCATAAAAAAAACTGGCCTCTCCAGCCGCAGCATTCACTGCCTCGTTGCCTACAACACCCACATGACTTCTGACCCAAACAGTATCAATGGGATTATTAGCTTGGTAAAGATCTTGATGAATGAATGAAACAATTGGATGGGTATTGGTGGGTAATTGCCCATTCACAGGCCCGGGATATTGCAAGCAACTCAGCCTGATACACACTGCAGCTAATTATTACGTTATACGATTCAACTAGTCGAAACGTCGCGAGAGGTAAATACTTTTATTTAGCATAAAATGATTCGTGTTAAGGCCCGGTTAACAATATAGACAATATATTTTTAGGTTGTTATTTTACTCGGAAAAAGAAGACAAAGTAGGGGGTAACCGCCATACTTAAGATTAAAAATAGAAATAAAGATATAGAAGTTGTATTATATTATGAAAATTACAGCTGCTAACTGTTACAAGATGAACTTATTTTTTATGTTTCCTGTATCAATTTATTTTTGTTATGTTATTTTGAATTACAATTTAATGGTATTAGTCTTGTTATATGCGTATTATGGCACAGAGGTGGTAAACCACAACAATGCTGGCGGCTAATTATATTCATATATATATATATATATAAGAGATATAGACGATGTGACTCATTAACTATTTTATTTATTCTCTGAGGTTGATTCGTCTGCATGCATTGTCATACAATGAAAGGTGGACACAAATCAGTACTTTATGATTCTGATAATTAGGATTACGTTACTTTGTCAACGTGACATTTGAAGGAGGAGTCAAGGGATTCTTGAACTGCCGTGAGCATATGGGACGACGGTCTTTGAAAGTAATCAGAATATAAAACACCAGTAGGTACATACGTGTATCGGACCTACGGTAAAGTAGGTCGGTGTAGAGTATGAGCAACGTATGGAGTATGAGTTATTGAGCTAAAGAAATATTTGCAACTAACAGCGACGACAGTGAATTTGCGGTAAAAACTATACCCCATAACTCTATAAACATTTACTAACACTCAGTAATAAGTATTGTATAAAATAATTAGTTCTAACAAACCACAAATAATTCTTCTAAACCACAAAACAGATTAAAAGTGTGTAAATATCATTTAGAGATTTTTACGGAGGCTTTATATGTATCATACTAGTTGCATATATTTATACGACAATCATATTTTCCAGTTAACAGTAATCATACATTATTGTTTAATTAATTTAGTCTTTACAACTTTATCGGCCTGTGGGTTCTGACTAAGAAGCTGGATTACCCACTGTTGTTCTTTCAAGATAACGTCATATTTTGGTGACATATGAAAATAAATAAAATAAATACTAGATGACTCATGCGACGTCGTCTGCATCACACTTACTGAATTTACATTATATATTTTAAAATTATAGCCTATATGTTATTCCGATGTATAAGTTACATTACTGCAAAGTTTCATCAAATCCGTTGAGTAGTTTTTGCGTGAAAGGTAAGGTAAGAGTAACAAACATCATAATATAACATACTCAAAAACTTTCGTATTTTTAGTATTAGTAATGTTTAATTAATGTATAGTACTCACGAACATCACTGTAGCTGGAACCTCGTTAATGCTCTTTATAGAACTACCTAAAACAAATAATGATAGTAAGGTTACAATTGATTAATTCATATCAACACAAGTATAAAATTGAACCCATGCATTAATACCATTAAGTTGAAATTTGTTTTTTATCCACAGCACCTATTTCCGTTCTGAAACGTATTTGATATCTAAGTATAGTAGGTAATAGAGATTTATTATATGACTCGTTGAATTGGATGTTGTTTAGAGGATGTCAATCAGTAACCTCGCGCTCAGTTTCTGTTATGGTGGCAGAACTAAACAAACTTCTTAATTTCATCTATACATATAAATAAAATTGAAGTGTCTGTTTGTAATATTGAAATAACCGTTTTTTACTACATGCATATGAATATAATACCGTACATTAACCAAAATAACATTTTTTATCTGTCTGTCTGTTTGTTCCGGCTAATCTCTGAAATGGCTGAACCGATCTTGACGGAACTTTTTTTGGCAGGTAGCTGATGTAATAAGGAGTAACCTAGGCTATATTTATTTTAGAAAAATAAAGTTATATTCCAGGTGGAGGAAGTCGCGAGTACAGCTAGTTAACAATAAAACAATATTGTTTCAATTATCAATTCTTTAAATTAAATGATTTTAATTGAAATTGTTGAATATAAACAAATTATTTCACCAATATTGACCTTTTTATTCGTAAAATCTGAATAACTGTTGCATAATTTATTGAAGTATAGTATCATTGCATTGGAATTTGGATAAATATTTATTTATAACTAGCCAACACGCGCTCTTTATTGGCGTCACATTTTTCATTGCCGCTCCACTCCTATTGGTCGTGGCGTGATGTTATATAGCCTATAGCCTTCCTCGGTAAATGGGCTACGCGACTAGTAGAACTTATGAAATCGCATCAGTAGTACCGCAGATGGAGTGTACCGAACGGGTAAACTCGCAAACTTAAAGTCTAATATCGTGTAGCCTAAGTTAACGGAACTGAATATAAAAATTATAAAATAGAAAGTTACCTCTCTATTTTATAATTTTCATTTCATTCTTCGTATTCCAAAACACAAAATTAAAAACACGTTTATTTTCAATTTCATTATATACAGGCCTCTATCTCTACCTAGACAAGTGACAGAAATCTATCGATAAGTTATCGATTTGTATCGTGGGCATTAGAAAGAATAGGACGACTATAATAGCTATCTCGTTCATACATGCTGTAGCGGCAGATTCACCGATTCGCTTAATTTACCGATACGATAAGGATGTGGATAGATTCAGTAGGCATTTATAAGAAGCACTTCAATACACATAATTAATTATGATATTAGTAACGAATTTTGTGGAGGGTGATCTGATCATCATCATTTACCTTCATCATAGAAGGACATACCTAATTTATAAAATCCTAGTGTCACAGTGTTTGTAACTAAACTCCTCCGATACGGCTAGACCGATTCTTATATCGTGTATAGTCACTAGATCTGAGGATGGGACGAGATCGTCTACACCAAAAATTTTCTTTTTTGTTTATTGGACATTCCTTTATTTTAATTTTGTTATGATTAAAAAATACATAAATCCCTATATTTTCTCTACCATAAACGCCATTTTTTAATATTAGCACTTTATAAAGCAAAACAATGTTTGCCGGGTCAATTAGTACGATATAAAAAAATACAACCCTGCCTAAACTCTCAGACGCTATTTTTAAAATAAATACAATGAATAAGAAAGGACTTTTGGAAATACAATCTTTAAGGAGTCAAAGTTTATATTCGGAAACAATATTTGTAAACTCTCTGCTTCTTGGAAGCTCTTAAAAACAAGTATGTATAATGTATATACATGATTTTTCGAAAATCTACTCCTATTCTCGTTAATATTAATAATAAGAATAATACTGGCGTTAATTACGGGCCCCTTAAGCTGTAATTAACGCGAGTGAAGCGGCGGGTTAAAATTAGCACACACACTGATATATAATATATACCTATTGCTTGTACAAGACTTAAGTCGGGACGAGACATTAGTATATAATAGAGTTGTAAGTACATAACACCATTAGAGTCAAATATAAAAAAGATTAACACTGAATTCATGGAAAAACCCTGTTTAATAAAATGTTTAATTGGCAGCGTTTAAAGTGTTAATAAAATAATTATTGTTATTGTTGATGTAGATATATGACCATTGTTTCATATTATAATTGTAGTTATTGTAAATTAATAATATTTAATAATGCTTAATTCAATGTACTTTAAAACAAATAGTAATGACTGTATAATGGATGGTTACATGCTAAATAAAAATGTGTATCATTAATTGTTAATTTGAAAGCCAAAAATTGATCATTTGCGTCGGTTAGAAGATCCAGATTCGGTAACGCTTGTGTGGTCCTTTATTTTCTAACTCTATATATTCCATATAAAGACATGGGTTTGTCAGTAAAAGGGACTACTGATCCCATTGGTAGTTACGTATATAGTAGAGTTTCTTGCCAGAACTTCTCAGTTAAATCTGTATACTCACTACTGACTAACTGATAACTGAACCGTAGGGAATAAATTTTTAATACTGAAAAAATTATGTAGAATATTAGGTCGACCTTCAAGCGGTCCATAAAATAAAAACTCATGGAATGGCGACTGCGCTACGTGACTATTCGCAAACTCCAAATGATTCATGTTCGTTACCTACAATCTCTAGCATATATACATACATATCAAACGATGACACAATTGTATCCATGCAACGATAATTCTGCAATTGTTAATATCATTTTTACATTAACATAAGTTAATTTAATTAAGATTCTTTTATTAGAAATAGAAATAAAACTAATCTTTATTCAAATAAACTTAATATAAGCACTTTTGAATAGTCAAGTTTTTAGATTCTACTGCTTATTCGGAATGCAGATTCATCACAAGAAGAATAAGGAAGAAACTTGTGTGCTGCTCTATTATAAAGTATCCTTTATGATAATTGCACAATATATATTTATTTAATTAATTAATATTATTAATTTTTATGATCTTCATACAAACTGTTCGTTCATATGGCTAATTTATTTGAAATCGTTTTGTTTAATGGTTCATGGACCGCCTGCGCCAATGGTATACGCTGACAGAGCAGCTGTGGATGGTGATATGATGACCATAGTCAGATACCGTTCGCCCATCGTGACATATTCACCAATAATAAACCACGATGGTATCTCGGAGGTTACCACGTGGCATTAACATAGTACTTACATAGTTATGTGGATTCACTTCTGCCTATAACTAACAATCTCCTGCCACACCAAAACTAAGTTTGGTGAATATGATTGTTTTAGAAGCAAGCATTGTACTTATATTTCTTTTTTTGTTTGGTACGACCTTTATAAGTAACCATACAATTAATGTTTGTTTAACTTTAAAAAAATAAGGCTACAGGCTACAGAACAATACAGAATTAGGCGATAGGTATAGGTAGTAGTAGAGTTCTTTGCGTTATTATTAATGATTGTATAAGAGAGGTTATTTTCTAAAGGAAATTAGTTTGTCCCCTATTGCTAAGATATTGACTCAGTAAAACTATTACAAAATATGTATGATGTTTAACGTAAATTGTGTATTGTTCACATGATACCTATATTATAATTAAAATCTAATGCGAGATACGTTTTAAATATTCGTAATAATTTCTAATAAAGTATACACAGATTAAGTAAGGTAAAATGACTGAAATATAATAAACTAAATATTACTTTTGCACAACTAACAATTAATTGACATTATAATCAAATTAATGCAACATTAATAATATCAAAGTATTTTAAATACCTTTTCTTTCTCTTTATTGCTAGACAAATTGCTTTTAAAATAACAATATGTAAAAATAAAAAAAAATAACTTACTGTTAGAATTTAGTGATGAGTAGCTTGAATTTGCCTTCCTTTTCTTGCTCTGCTTGAACACCTGTTCCGCTGTATATGTGAATTCTTTGCGTTCGCTTGTCCGGCCGTCCAGTGGTCGTACCAGTTCTATGAACACTTTCACGTCCACTGTTATGTGTGGGTCCGCATATTTTGGTGTTCTGAATAACAGTTATAATATTATAGCATCAAGATATTTAAAAAAGGAATAGTACCTAGGATACTAACACTAAAAACTGTACAAAATACAGAGCGTAATAAGTTAAATCATAGACAAATTTTTAATCAACTCGTATAATCATCATTTCATAGTAAGTATAAAATAAAGTCACTGTCACTGTCTGTCTCTATGTATGCTTAAATATTTAAGAAGCAACAAACGCAATTTTAAAGCGATTTTTTTTAATAAATAGTGATTCAAGAGCACTGTTTTTATGTATAATACATGTACACCCGGGCGAGTAGCTAGTATCAAGATAAGTGTTATAAGTAATTTTGGAAAAATATAAAACTAGCAATTAACATAGGTACTTTCATCCTCTACTTCACCTTCTTCCGGACTTTTATTGTAATAAAAGTTAGTCTATGTAGGTGTATGTCTTGCGTCTTAGTGGAAAAATATATTTTCACTGCTAAACCTTATGACTCAATAAATAAATTTAGTACGGATAAACTGGTATAGTATACAGTTTATGCGTACTAAATTTATATATTTTTTAATTTTAGTATGATCTATTTAACCGCTAAACGGATCATTATGTTTCACTGCTAAACCTTATGACTCGTATAAGGTTTAGCAGTGTCTTGCGTATGTCTTGCGTCTTAGTGGAAAAATATATTTTCACTGCTAAACCTTATGACTCAATAAATAAATTTAATACGGATAAACTGGTATAGTATACAGTTTATGCGTACTAAATTTATATATTTTTTAATTTTAGTATGATCTATTTAACCGCTAAACGGATCATTATGTTTCACTGCTAAACCTTATGACTCGCATAAGGTTTAGCAGTGAAAATGTATTTTTATTTGTGATATTTATATTTAATTTTATATTCGAGTTTAATGCATAATTTTTAAAGGGGAATGTATGTTTTCGTATTATGTGTAACTAACGAATGCCATAAAATAATACATTCTCAGGACATTCAGGCTTGTCTTGTAGCTGAAGTTTAAATAAAACTCGAAGTTTGGTCAAAAATTAACAACCCAGAAAATCATGATCTCAAATTGATCCGCTACATTAACGAATAAAAAGCTAACCTTTATCATAAATCGAAAAAAAGCATAATACTACAAAACTTTAATTAAAACAAAGAGTACATACAGTGATCAATCAAGAAGTAACATATTGTATACAAATGTTTGTACTTTGCGAGGAATCGAACCCACGACCATCGGAAGTAAAGCGGTGTACTAAACCGCTTGACCAACAAGGCCGTCGTTATATTAATAACGACTATACATTTTTATGTAACCCAATACTCACCTAAAAACGATCGCGTATTGGTGGTGCACATCACTCTCTAAGAAATGTGCAAAAGCACTCCAGACCTCCTCCCCACTGTCAGAAATCTCGAAAAACCGTATCCTAATGTTTTCTAAACGAAAATTTACATCAATATTAATATTTAAGAATGTTACCAAGAATATTGTTTAATTATACATTATTTTCTGTTACAGATAAATATACATATATTATTGTCTAACAAACAAATGTGTAAATTTTAATTTGTGAAAGAAGACTCAAGAGACAAGAACAATTGAGTAAATTTCAATTTTATAAAGCCTTGTTAAATTATGAATAACAGGGGTAGACATTGTGAGTCGTAAGCGAAAATTTGACATTTACACCTGGCCTTCTGAATGGCAACGGATGTGACAATAGGAACGGATGATAGGAACCATTTACCACTAGGTTAGTCTTTGGTTAGTTTGTCATTCTAGTTCAGTTACAGATTTAATTCTATATAATGTGATTCGTAAAATTCAGCCAACCCATTCATTGACAACCTACAGGAAGTTGTGTTTAAAGTAACAAGAATTGCGTACGGGTAGCGAGCTTTATACAAATAGAACAATGAACAATGAACAATACAATAGACTGTAAGTGTATTTTTATATGTTAGTATTATACAATTTCAACAAATAACTTTAATTATTCGCTTTTTTTTAAAAGAACATAGATAAATATAGTATGTAGGAATATTCAGTTCAATTACAGTTGAGAAATTGATGTAATAATTACTTACTCGTATAATATGAATAAGAAATAACAGGTAAATACGCACTTTTGTTTACTTTTTCTACAAAAATGTATACATCGTCTCCGCCCCTGGGCCGGCCACAGCTACGGCTGATGCGACATATTTTCAAGTCGTTAGTAGCTGCGCTCTCTATAGGAAACAATACACAATTAAAATATTTTACAAACACTACATACTTTACACAGGTATCGATAGGTACACAACATTTAACGTAATAAAACGCTAACGGTCTGGGCGTTATATGCGTAAATTATTGTTTAAAAACAAAATGATAACAGTATATTACGATATAAGTGCGTAATTACACTTATAACACACGTGGTGAAATTTCAGCCCCAGCCGAACGAGAGGGCGCAATAAATCCAAGTGTTTTAAATACATACGCATATTTATCAATAGTAGTAGTAGGACGATTGGACAACGATAACACACTTTTATATTGCTGAATTTTTTTTTTTAATAAACTCAACCATAAAACTGTGATGGACACTGTAGCTTTGGCGCCGTTTTACTTTTTTGAATTAGCCGGACAGTTCGAAATTTGATAAAAAAAAAAAACAAATAATGCAGTTGTGGAATGTAACTTTACTAGCTGCGTTTATATAATGCACGCATCTTTGATTAACTGTTTTACATTTATATATATAATGTATCGAAATATATATTTTTATATATAATGTATCGAAAACCGGTGAAATTAGATTCACTTTTCAAACAAGTGTATACCTATTGACAATTAATATTTATATTCCCATATATATACAACGTCTAATATCACATATAGAACAATCAATTAAATTATTGAATATCTTTATTCTTTTACATGCGTAATAATACTGACAACTGAAATAATAATAATTAATATATATTTTTTTATGTTACTCTTATTAATATTTTCTTTTTTTCTTTTTGTTGATCCTTACCACTCAGTTAAAATTATATCAAATTATACTCTGAACTATTTACATTATTTTTATTAGGTATACACACACCGCACAGACAATCACCATTAATATTGCTCCTTTTTATTTTATATTTATTTTAATTCTTATTTTCACGTACCCTCAAATGGGTTAAAGCTGAAAATCAGTGTTTTGTTCCTTGAACAATGTTCCACGCTGAGCTTCGACCTTTTTGTATTGCTACAGATCACACATAATAACACAATTTTATAAATCTTATGTTGTATTATGTATTTTATATTCCTATGAACATGTTGTGTGTGATTAGTAACAAACAAATAAACGATATATCTATCTATCTATATCTAAATAGAAAAGCTACCATACGTCATAGTAGGCTCTTACTGTCAAATATATAAATCAAATATTTACCTTTAGATAAGGTATAATTGAGTTGTTTGCAGTGACATTTCCGCTAAATTGAAATGTGAGAGATATTTGATGTGAAGGACTTACTTCCATTAATTATAATAGTAAGTAAAAGGTCGATGTTGTCACCTAATTAAAACTGTATAGTCCCTAAAATATTTGTCCAATAATAAACATCATTATATGATACTATATAAAGAAAACTAAACGGGAAGGTGCATTATTTCTTAAAAGGATGCATCAAAATTATTAAAATTAATTTGATATCAAAAACATTATTATTGCAGTTAATAAAAGTACCAAAAGCCTGAGATGATATCCATAACGGATGTGTTCCAAACGCATCGGTTACAGATAATCATAAATATTAATACACAATTAATTAACGTTAAAAATAATTCTTTAATCGTAGTCTATACTGAGGCAGACTTTGTAAAATTGAAAATATTTTTTTACATTGCACCATTAGAGCTATATCAATATAGTTCTCATGACATACACATACCTATTTTTTTTTTTCATTTATATGTTTCACAGTTTATTTTTTTATACGTATATATCTGGATTTATAAATTCTTAAGCTTCCGCTGCGATTTGTTACAGGGGAAATTTTTAATAGAAATTTTCACTGTAGGGTATATATGTATATTATATTATACATATTTTATAATTACACATATAAGTATTATACATAAAATATTATATTAAAGTATATAATAGATTTAATATTTAAATATAAAATTTAATGACAAAAAGTTTTCACATGTATGTAGTGTACACTTATGTATTGTTAATCTGTTTTAACTTATAAATAATACTTTTATTATGGTACACACACCAAAATAACATTTTTTACAATTTTTGACTCTGTCTGTCTGTCTGTTCCGGCTAATCTCTGAAATGACTGTACCGGGACTTTTCTTGGTAATAAGGAATAACTTAGGCTACCTTTATTTTAGAAAAATAACGTTAAATTCCACGCGGACGAAGTCACAGGTACAGCTAGTTAATTAATAAAACTATTGGCACTATACAAACGTGTTTATCATAGCTGTTACTGCCTTAAACATAACGTTAGATTGTTTACGTTATATACACGCAGTATATATTTTTAAATAACAAGCTTCTAAGAAATATTATGCGTTTGTCGTCCTATTTATCTAATAGAATATTATCTCAAACTGTCCTCTGTTTGAGATTGACAACATTGTGCAGAGATAAACGTAATCAGCATGTAGATTCGGCAAATTTCGAGTAATTTCTTATATCTATGTGGTACCTACTATCAACAACGACGCGTGACCCCTTAAGCCTAACCCCTTTTGTTTGAGCATCGTGGTTTATCTATGTGGCGACTTAAACTGAGTGATCGCGATTTCAAATCTGGCCGATAACATAAAAAATGGGTATTAATTTTTCTTTTTTATTCAATTTTAACTGTCCGACCTAACACACGACTACTTTAGGAAGCGGTTGCACGCCATAAATCTCAGTGAGCAGAGTGGCTGCGACCACGGGGCTGAAGACGAGGACGTCCACCATGCCCTGTGGGAGTGTCCGCTGTACGGCGTCGCGAGGATGCTGATGCTGGACGGCGGACCGGTCTACTACCAGGATCTCGTGTTTTTAGGGTGGAGAATTTTAGACGGCTACGGGAGTTCACGCATCAGTGGCATAGGAGGCGAGCAGGTAGGAGAGGATGAGACGTGGAGCGGCACCAGGAAGCGTCATATTTTATACTAGGTATACTTAACGTACGTAGTAGGTACTAGCTCCCGGACTTCGTAATAACATTCGTAGTATTCGAAATAACAATAGCTCTTTCTAACTACTAAATAACTTTTTAGTTTGTAAACCAATTGAATGAAGTGTATGCACGTCATAAATCACTATCGCTACCAACTAGCTACTTCAATTAAGAATATCGTAAATGCCCGAGTACTTTTTTTGTGTTGTTATTATTATTATATTATTGATTAAATAGAATCAGCCTTTTAATATAGCGATACAGGATATTAAAAGGGAATAAAATAACACACTAAATTTTAAATAAAGCTTACCACAAAGAATAATGACAACAGACGGTTTTTGAGATAAACAGACAAAAATTCTAACAATCATTATTTTGGTTTTGGATAATATGATTTTGACACCAACAAAATTTTATCTATATATATTTATAAAAATATAAGTTTTTTTGTGATATCGGTACAGAGCTATTGCACTGAATAGCAGCAATTAATCATAATTTAGTTAATTAACAACAAATAATATTTTACCGTATGTGATAATTATTACTCGTTTATCACAAAATATTATGTGTTATTTAAATTGCTAATTCCTATAGCAGTCGTTATTTTTATAACAATTCCTATACCTACTATGTTCTATCTATCAACCTCTAAGATAATTAATTAGTAAATCACACACACACACATGTATTAAAAATAATTCTATAACAATTAAAATGCTTTCGTTTGCTGTTTCGAATTAATTTGTTACAATTACGATCCTCTATAATTATAGATGAATTTGTATTATATAATTATATGAATAACAAAATCAAGTATTTTTCGAATTTTAATTGCACATAATAAACACAAATTCATCTAATAAAAATCAGATTATCATACATTAATCAATACATTAATAATATACACAGATAATTATTAATTACAAATTACTTACTCATGTTGTGAATGGGCTCGGAGAACACCGGTGGACAGATTTCTTCATTAGTTTTTATATCGTGTGCACTAAACCTCAATCTAACTATATTGAGATTAATGTTTTTGGCTTCGTTTTCGCATAGAGTGCGAACCTGAAACAAAATTTGTTTGTTTAAACTCACCGGACGCCGAAATGTAATTGTCTTGGACATCCATTATACGAGGGCGGTAGAATAGAGTTGTAGTCACACGATATCGACGTGGCTTTCCCATAAATATTACAAGCTCTACAAATATTGCTAGCTCTTATTCTGAGTATCACTCTACTTATTTTCAACAGCACAATATTAAAGTTATCAAATATGCAACACAATCACAACACAACAAAGCGCCTTGAAAATTTAACGATGACTGAATTGAATACTGAATGTCGGGCCGCACTCGTGTGGTCAGCGTGCGAAGGGTGGGGTTCAATGTGGTTTGTGGTGATGACGAATCCCGTGTAGCTTCTGCCTTTCATAACCGACTGTCATTAGTTGTTCAACCATTCGTGATCAGTCCATCCTCTGATTGGTGGGTTTCTTAAGTTTAGAAATATTGTATTACATCGCCCACTCTAAATAGTACATATACATATAAGTGACGGCACGTACATACATATAACTGGCTATTATGTACTTGTTATGCGTTAGAATGATTGTTGACGTTACTACAGTTTAGTAGAAAAGAATCTAGTGTTGTCGGATAACTTTTGTACAAGCATTATTAATTTTAGGATGTAGGTTACGTCAAAAGTAAATAAATAAGCACTTATAAAGAATGCAGATGTTAATCTTTTAAAAGTTGATTGATGGTGATTTTCAATAGTCTTAAAAACAGACGATGAATATATTTATTTATTTATAATTGCACATGCATAAATAACAAATTAACAATACACACATGGATTCCGTTAAAATTGTGTAGCAACTTGATAAATAACTCAGTCCATACTAATTTCACAAGGTCAAATGGATACGTACGTACAGACTGAATGAATTTGGAATTAAGGGGGTCTTCCTATGTGACGGCCTGTTTTTTAGGGATATTTTAGGATTTTTTTTCTACGACCAGTAAATATTTAGAGCTTCAAGTTTTTTATCATTTATTAACACATATTTGGACAGTATAAATATAAAATTTCAGCTAAAAATATTCAGTCAAACTAGAGTTACAGCGCTCTGAACACCCCCGCCTCGAAAAAAAGAGCTCCCACTTCCTCCACGATTCCGGCTGATCGGCTTATCTGAAAAAAAAAAAAACGGCGTTTTAATTTGTAGGCTTAAAAGCACGGAATGACCTATAATCAAATGAATATAAAAAAATTGGATTTTTGATAGACATTTGAAATAAAAGTTGCAAATTAGGCGTTTTTTTTTTTTTTGCTATAAAAAAATCGAAGTTTTGAAAATTTTCGATTGATAATAGTTCATTCCATGCGTTTACATATATTGAGTGTGCCCTGTAAATTTCAAGTAATTCGGTCCAGCCGTTTCTGAGATACAATGGAGGAAAGTTTGAAAAACACAGTTTTGAGAAAAACGCGTTTAAAGTTTCAAGTCCGTTAAAAACTATTAAAATATCAACTTACTCTCAATCGGCGATGCCTGGTCCATAGAGTATTCCTTCCTCTTCCTCGTGAAACTCTTTTAAAGCAGATTGTTCAGCTCTTGAGTCAATCCTGGCTTGTTTAACGACATCACTTACGCGCCGCTCAGAGCGTAAGATTCGCTTTTCATCCCGTTTCTCAACATACGCTTGGGCTTCACGACCAACAGGGCATCCCATAATCGACATAACTTTTAAAATACCTTGAAAACCTTCATTAAAGATAATAACTGCTAAGTAGCTAGCAATTTCAACAACTTTGGGACCAGAATGAAGATGTTTAGGAGCGAAAGTCCAAATCAAAGAATTCAAAGATTCGTTATTGTTTTGTGTCTCTGCTCCTAAACAACGAATTAATAATTCGTCTTTCGATAAATCTTCGAAAACCGGTTTGATAGCTTCTTGGACTTGCGGAATTAGAGGTGGTTTATCGTGATGAAATTGGTCCAGTTCATTATTAGCTTCAGCCTTACGCCATTTACACCAACTGTCTTCGCCTTCTGGACAAAATTGATGCTGAGGGTTTTCATCAGAAGAACATTTATGATAGTACGTTGCCCAAACTTCCTTTCTCATATCTTCAAGCGAATCTGGATGGCGTCGAATTGCTAATCCGTAGAATTTTGTAATTTCTTGGATAACTTTATCAGTAAGTTTACCTAAACGTGTCTAAACTTGTATAAACAAATATATTAATAAAAGGGAGGCCAGGTATAAAGCCGACGGTACACAATAGGCCCGGTCTCTAACTGCCAACTCACCGCTCCGAACCGCTCTTTCTTTTACCTGCTGTATCTTTAAAACGACTTCGAATTTTCTAAAATCGCTTTACTACCGTATTCTAGACATGTTAAGGGAGCAATTTATGAAAAAAAAAAAATCGATTTTTTCAACCCATCACATAGGAAGACCCCCTTAAAGTCTGCTGTAGCGTGATCGTAACTCGTACAGTATCTACGTCTGTTAAAAAATCTTGTTCAATATAATAAGTATATACAGTTAATCCTTTAGGCATTAATAAAAATATATTTTCTTCTCGTCTTCCGGTTTCAGGAATTTTAAGAGGTATATATAATCGGTATCGGTATCATAATTTGGAGAAAGCAATCCATAAGATTGATACTGAAGAATTTTATCATGGAAAAAGTGCGTGCTTCTATTCAAAACTGGTCACAACGTGGGAAGGACTGTATTGCAGTCAATGAAGATCATTTCGAATAAGCTTTATATGTTTTTAATACCTTCATAGTAATATTTAAACTAACACACTACAATAATAAATGTTACATGAACCCCTGTTACAAAATTATTAATTGAGTAGATAATATAAAAGTAATACAATGGAGGTACGGGGCATTTCATAACAACTTACTGTTTTAACACATCATGAAATAAATCATCACAGCCTATAAGTAAAATAGAAAATTACTATTATTATTTTTAAAGATATTTCTTAATTCAGTTTTTACTATTCGTTTTCGTCTAGGCACGTCTAGGTATATTCTAGTTTAATGGAAATAATTACATCATCTAATGTAGACAGAGTTAATATAGAATATAACATTCAATGAATTATAGAAAGTCCAAAATGATCTATTACATAAATGCTAAATATAAATAACCCTGGACAATTAACACAGCGTCATGTAATTCCACAGTAAGCAGAGCTTGGGTTATGGGTACTAGACAACTAATCGAAATACTTCATTTTTTGTAAATACATAGGTATACAGTATACTAGAAAGCACCCAGACTGATACAAATAAATCATAACAAACATACTCATAAATACAATGTTAGCACCTTGCGAGGAATCAAACCCGCGACCATTGGAAGTAAAGTGGTGTACTAAACCGCTGGACCACGAGGTCGGCCCGACATGTACCTATTATTGTTTTACAAATAGAAGGTCATTGCGAATGTAAGTATGTATGTTTGTTAGGTATATCTATCTATGTTAAAGGAGTGTATCTTCCCCAATTCTAAACTAAATCGGCCCTGAGCGCCCCGTCTGTACATACGCACCACTGCGGGGTAATTCCTACCCTCCTATCCCCATAGTCCATCCCCTCGGGTGTTATCCTGAGGGATTGTTAGGGACGGCATGAATTAATTAATTGAAAATAAAAATATCTTACACATATATGAATGTTGGTACTGATGGCCAAAAATATATATAAAAAATAATATAATAATATTGTAAAAAAATGATAATATCAAAGGTGTCATTTCATTCTCATAAATCATTTTGTCGACGATCAAAAAGTCGCATATAATAATTAATTTTGTTATATTATTGTATTAAGATAATGTTTTGGGTGAATCACCTAGATAAGTATCAGGAAGTGGCAAAAAATAATCTGAATTAGTGCAGTTGTTTCCTGTGTTTTCAGTAAGTAATCATTAAGTAATATCCGGTATAGTTTCAGACTCAAGAGCATAAGATAGATAAGCAAACTCTGATAAGGGATACTTAAAACCTAAATGTCTATCTATTGACGTAATAAACCTAAAAGTATCTAATAGGTATTAGTAAAAGCAAGAGTGCAGTAATATTATCGTAAGAATTAAACGGACCATACCTAATATTACGAAATCCATACCAATACTATAAATATGACAGTGTAGCTTTCTGTTTGATACCATTTCCCGAGTGATACCTACTGAAATACCACTGACTGTGGTACAAACAGTCATTACAGTTATAATTACATATAAGTATATTGGTATAATAGACATCTTCAAGGGGGAAAGAGGATTGTTAGTAATGTGGACCGATGGTCTCATTGCTAGCAATGTACCATGTCAAGTTGACCTCCACGCGGTTCCCACTGGAAACCATCGTGATAAATTACTAGTGAATTTGTCACGATGGGCTAACTGACCTGACCTCATGCTCATCTTATCATCCTCCACTGGTGCCCCGCCAGCGTAAACCGTTAGCGCAGGCGGGAGCACCATTCCATTATCATCCATTAAAAAAAAAAATAGACATCTTCATGCTAATGTGAAGATAGATTCTATCATGATATTGAATATATAACCTATACATAGGTTCATATTTCATATTTAAAGAAGCAGACAAAGCCACGGAAGACGAGAAGAAGAAAAGAAATTTGATCGTGGTATGGGTCATATAAATTCAAACTGAATCTCACTTAACTAACTCAATCTCACTACATCACTCCTAATTTTACTAATTAGATACGGACTTAAAACTATGTTCAGTCTTGTTCTTAAAATAAATATTTTACGCTTAGGTATAGAGCCCTAACTAAAACTAGATTTATAATATAAATTAAGTATAATAGTATTAAGCTATTTCGTTGTAACTAAGTATTCAAAGTAATTGACATGTAAGGATTATACATCTATATTTTTAAGCGAGCAACAATCAAGTCATCTTGGCTGTATCCACATTCCGAATGTGGGGTTTAAAAAGAAAATAGTATTATAAATTCATTATAATTAATTTTATATGAGTTGAGATTATTTCTATTCCACT